AGTTGCTTCAGTCATCTAATCAAACTTTGATTTAATTAACTTCTTTTTGGGGGGTGGTATTTTTTTTAAACTCAGGACTTTGTGCCCTTTTTGCTCTGGTTATTTTGGAGATAGGGTCTCACTTTTTGCCCAGGCTGGCCTGGACCCCATCCTGTTTTATGCTTCAGTCCAGGATGACAGGCACACACCACATGCACAGCTTTTATCTGTTGAGATGGGATCTTGCAAACTTCTTTGCCTGGGCTGACCTGTAATCACGATCTTCCCTGATCTTAGCCTCCTGTGTAACCTGGGGTGACATGCACATACCACCATGCCCAGGTATTGGTTGAGATGGTGTCTTAAAGTATTTGCCCAGGCTGGCCCTGAACTGCAATACTCCCAATCTCAAAGTAGCTAGGATTACAGGTGTGAGCCACTGGCATCCAGCTGATTTAATTAACTTTCACATGCTCTTTTTGTGTGCCTGTGCTGTGTTAGATAGAGATGAATGGGATCATTCCCTGCCCTTTAAGAAGTAAACATGTAAGTCACTCAGCTGTAGTATGCTGTATTAAGATAAAGGGTCAGGTCAAAGAGGAATTGGTGCCAGGCAGCAACAGTGTCTGGGCTGCTTTTGAACCTGACAAGGTTGCCTCTTACCTCAGAGAAGTCTGGCTTCTGATTACTACAGGGGCTACCTCATTCAAAAAATCCTGTTCATCCTCATGGTCTTATTATCTGGGTCCTTTAGACAAATTGAGTTTTACATTTTGTGCTTTGTAGTCAGCCACATAAATCTGTACTGGGGCTATGTCCAGGTTGGATAAGAAATGTAAGCATTACATGCCCTAGGATTAACCAACATTGGAGTTAGGGGCTAAGAGCCCTGCCTACATAGGGAGACTGTTTCAAAAAATTTTTAAGGTGAATTTTATCTCAATAAAGCTGTCATTTTAAAAGAGTTGGTAGTGGTCCTGCACAAACAATGCTGCCTTTTCTGTAGGGTCTGGCCCCTGCTACTTTCATAAGTCTACATTGCTCCTGTCACTGACTTGCTATCTTCAACAGAAAACTTGACTCTCTGGAGAGGCCAAAAATATTAGGTGGGAACTTTGAGAATCAAGAGACTGGGGTCTTTACCACTTATAAGCCTCACTTTTCTCATCTTAAACTTAAAAATCTCAGCTCTGCCCATTTGACAATGTTATTTTGAAGAATCAATAGAATTATGTTTGTAAAAAATGTTTTATAATTCCTGGGGTACCACACAGATAGAAGCAATCTTTCACTTACCCGAGGAATGTTCTAGGCCATCCTCCTCTTAAGATATCTCCAATCCCCTAAAGCTTATAGTCCAGTTGGGTAAGGAACTATAGAAACAGACTCTTTCAGGGCTAAGAACATAGCTCTGTGGTAAAATACTTGCCTAGCATGAATGAGACCTGGGTTTGATCCTGAGTCCCAGAAAAAAAGAGGTGGGGGGGGAAAGAAAGGAGGAAGAAAAATATAGATGCTTTCATTATAATATGGCAAATGCTAAGATGAGGGAAAGAAGAGTACATAGGGTGCTTTGAGGAAAGTAGTTTTACCCCAGCCTATGTGTACAGAGAGGGCTTCTTGGAAGAGATGATGCTTGAGCTGAATCTTGAAAATTAAATTCTATTTAATAAATAAATAAATACACACACACACATATGGAAGTATATAAGGAATAGTATTCCAGATCAGACAAAAGGAATAGTGTACACAAAGGCATAGCCCAAAGCAGACGCCAGTGGCTCATGCTAGCCACTCAATCCTAGCTACTAAGGAGGCAGAGATCAGGAGGATCACAGTTCGAAGCCAGCCCCAGGCAAACAGTTCGGGAGACCCTATCTATCTCAAAAAAAAAAAAAAACCATCACAAAAAAGGGTTGGTGGAGGGCTTAAACTGTAAGAGCACCTGCCGAGCAAGTGTGAGGCCCTGAGTTCAAACTCCAGTGCCACAAAAAAAAAAAAAAAAGCCATAGCCTATAAACAGTATGGTGTGCTGTGCTATGGGGTTGGATGGCAGGGGATAAAGGTTGACAGAATAATCTGATCAGGCAAAATACTATCTAACTTAGATTTATTTTATAGATGATAGGAAATGAAGGACCACTGTCGACTTTTAAAAAATGATAAGTTTATTAAGATATAATTCACATAAAATAAATTTACCTTAAATTTTTTTGCAAACCAGTAGTAGAGTTTTACTGAAGGGAAAAGGAAAGTACAGTCAGGAGGAAACACCACAAGAAGAGCACTGGGCTCTGGCTAGATGGCACAGAACCCTAAAAACCTTTTTTGAGATAAAGTCTTGTTATGTAGCCCAGGCTGCTCTCAAACTTGCAATCCTCCTGCCTCAAATTTCTGAGTGCTAGGATAAGGTGTGTGGCATTACGCCTGGCCAAATTTTACCTTTTTAAAAGAATACATTTCATTGTATGCACATATGAATAATAAAAAATAAAGTATACATTTCAGTGTTTTTTAGTATATTCAGTTATCACTACTACCTAATTCTAGAACTTTTTCATGATCCCAAAAATAAGCCCCGTACCCTTTGTTGTAGGGCCCTGATCATCCCTGGCTTAGCTATGTCTTAACTGCTTGTGAAGATGCTACTCTGAAATACCTTTCTACCGGTGGTTTGTAGAAGGTCTCCTTGAATATGAAGATGGGTTAGAAACAGAACAGCTTTGACAAGGGCAGGGCACTGTGGCCATGTTGTGTTCCAAATCTGCTACTCCCAAGCTGACTTTAACAGGGTTGTTTCTGAGAACTATAAAGCAAATAGTAAACAGGACTTTAGACTGAGCATTGAAGATAGGAGCCTGAGTTGTTGGTGAAATATGGGGGGGAAGGGAAAGAAAAAGGTGACAGATCTGAGCTGCCACTGTCTCATAGGCTAGTACCCTGCATTGACTAATAGGCACACTGGCCAAGGGCCCATCTTCTCAGAGAAAGTCAGAGAGCTGAGGTGCTGATCAGCAAGACTGATGGAGGGCTGAAGCCAGGGCAAGCACAAGGACAGTTCTTAGAAGCCAGCCAATGTAGAGTAAATGTGATGAAATCCCAGGCTCCTTTCAACTCAGGGCAGATTAAGTGTGGTTATGTCAAGCCCAGAATAGAGTTAATGTGTACCTGATGTGTAGTAAGCAGGAAGTGACTTGGCAGTGTCTTCGCCACTATATGCCAAAGCTGGTAAGGAAGAGGGAGGGTTGGTTTAGGTCATAGGGCATTGCTGGCCCAGAAATGTTTCTGTGAGCCAAGGATCCCTGCTCTCTGCTGCCTCTGGAGAAGGGGGTGGAGTGAGGTGCCTCCTGAGGAGCCAGAGTAGTGTAGAGCTATTTTGAATGCAGCTATTTGGGAAGAACTGGTTGCTGCTTTATTTATAGGTCATTTGGGTTTGTTTCTCTGGAGATAGCAACATTTGTTGAATTGAATACTGTGAGGATGGCCCAAACCAGAACCTACTCCCGAGGTGTTAATGGTCTCTCTGCTAAGCAATAAAAGAGGAAGTGGCATAGAAAAGCATGTGTGTGCCACGCTACCAGCCCTTTTTTGTGTTGGGTATTTATGAGGTGGAGTCTTGTAAACTATTTGTCCAGGCTGGTTTTGAACTGTGATCCTCCTGAACTCTGCTTCCTAAGTAGGTAGGATTATAGAGATGTGCTGCCTGGCAAGTGTGAGGCCCTGACTTCAAGTTCCAGTACCACCAAAAAAAAAAAAGTATGTGGGTCCTGGGTTTGATCTCAAGCATCACAAAAACGTATGTGTGTTGTTGGGGGATGAATTGAAAAAATACTCCAAATTGAAGAGAGTGGAATAAGCAAAGGTTTGAAGGATTTCTTTAAGCTTGTCTGTGACAAGTTTAGAAAAGATATGCTAAATGGGAACAGGAGTTGGTGGGGAAGGGAAGGCTAATTGCATAGACACAGATCATAACTTTTTTCCTGCAGTACTGGGGCTTGAACTCAGGGCCTACACATTGAGCCACTCCACCAGCCCTTTTGTGTGATGGATTTTTTCGAGATAGGTTCTCAGCAACGATTTGCCTGGGCTGGCTTCAAACCACAATCCTCTAATCTCTGCCTCCTGAGTAGCTAGGATTATAGGCGTGAGCTACCAGCACCCAACTCAGATCTTATTTTTGTGTGTGCTAGAGATTGAACATAAGGCGTCATGTATGCTAAGCACACATTGTACCACTGAGGTATACCACCAGCCAGATCACAGACTTCTTATACCAGGGAGGAGTCTTACAGGCAGTGGTTGTGATCTTACAGGCAGTGAAAATTGTGTGTAGGCTTGGTTATTTGTCTTGTACTTCTGTCACTTGGCAAGGTCAGGCCAGGGACTTGATAGTCTGTCTTCTACTAGATTGTAAGCTTCAAGAAAACAAGAATTTTGGCTGGGGGCATGGCTCAAGTGATAGAGTTACTGTCTAGCAAGCACAAGGCCCTGAGTCCAAACCCTCATACCACAAAAAAAAAAAAGAAAAGAAAAAAGGTCAAGGGTTTCTGTTTTGTCCACTTTGTTCTGTCACTTAAGACCATGCCTAGAAAGCAAAGATAAATATTTGCATATGTAGCCTGAAATGGAACCTACAGCAGCATAGGACTGAGACCTAGGACTAACTCATCTCACATGACTATCTTAAAGTCTCAGGTCTGACCACTGAAGTCAACCTAAGAAAGTGTTTCACCAAAGAGCAGAGGACAAGATGTTCTGTGGAAGGAAGGGAGGTATGAGTGGTTAACTCTATGGCTGGTTGAGTCCCACTCCTGAGCCACCTTGTCTTTTCTTTGCAAACCCTAGAACTGCCTGATAAAGAGAGATGAGAATGGTTATTCTGCAGTAGTGGCTGACTTTGGCCTTGCTGAAAAGATCCCTGATGTCAGGTGAGTAGCCCTAATGGACGCTTTTGAAACATAGGAGAGGGTTAAAACTAAGGGAAAAGCTGGCTTCCTCCCCAGAGGCCTAGACTTGCTCACAGTTCAACCTTATTCCCTGAATTTGGCAGTCCTAGTCTGTATCCATCTTTGAGAAGAGGAATTCCAACAGTCAAAAGATCCCAACCCGGGCACTGGTGGCTCACACCTGTAATTCTAGCTACTCAGGAGATCAGGAGGATCGCAGTTCAAAGCCAGCCTAGGCAATTAGTTTGCAAGACTCCATCTCGAAAATACCCATCACAAAAAAGGGCTGGTAGAGTGGCTCAAGGTGTAGGCACCTGAGTTCATACTCCAGAACCTGCAAAAAAAAAAAAAAAATCCCATAGATCCCATGTACCAGGCAGTGGCATGCTTACTTCCCTCATCTTATTTCACAGCATGGGGAGTGAAAAGCTGGCTGTGGTGGGCTCACCCTTCTGGATGGCACCTGAGGTTCTCCGAGATGAGCCCTATAACGAGAAGGTAAGTCTGGAGAATTTCAATGCTTGGTTCTCTTTAGAATCCATTCTTAGCAGAAAGTGCCCAGAATTACCTTTTCTGTTCAGGGTGAGGATATATATCCTTCCTGCCAAAAGTAGGGCTGGCACCTCACAGTTGCCCAGTGAATGACTTGAAGTGCAATACGGGTAATATGGCCCAGATGGGGGTTGTTAAGACATGGGGAGCAGATACCTTACCCCTTTCTCCACTGAGAGGTTTGCTACCCACCAGGCGGACGTGTTTTCTTACGGTATCATCCTCTGCGAGATCATTGCCCGCATCCAGGCTGATCCAGACTATCTTCCCCGCACAGAGGTGAGCAACAGGCATGGGAATCGGTGCTACTGGGATGGGGCTGGTTTGAAGCTATGAACTATTTTGCCCTTGGGGTGGAATTGCAAGAACTCATTCTGTGGTTACTTCTCAAAGGCAGCTCCCAGCCTCCTCTTCTGAGCAGGCCAGGATGGGTAAGGGTATTAATAACATGTCTACCCTTGTCCCCTGTATCCTCCCCACCATACCCATTCACAGAATTTCGGTCTGGACTATGACGCGTTCCAGCACATGGTGGGAGACTGTCCCCCAGACTTTCTGCAGCTCACCTTCAACTGCTGTAATGTGAGTGTCTTTTTCCCCTTGGCTTTGGTCAGGGACTGGCTATTTCATTTTCACCTGGTTAGGACTGTAGGGAGAGGCTACAAATTAGCTTCAAGAGGGCCTCATTTTCCTGGATATGTAACACCAACCACACATCAACCTCCAGGCGTGGCCAGGCTGAGAGAAGAAAAAAATTACTTCATGTTTTCTAATCCTCAGCCTGCAGGGTAGACCCACCCCTCCTTGCCTTGGGTGTCGATGGCATGCTGGTTAGGAACTATTGTTGGACTGTGGTTCCTGCCAGTCTGGAGGCACATGGGAAAGGCTTTTCTTGTTTGGCTTCATTTTATATAGCTGTGGGGTTAGACCTACCATTTCTGACCAAAAGTAGCTAGGCTTTGTTCAGATACCTCCCAAAAAACACATTCGTAGCAGAACTCAAGAACAGACAAAAAACAAAACAAGGAGTATATGCTTTTGGAGGGTTTTGTTCTAAACAAGGGGCTAAGACACACACATAAAGGACACTGACAGGGAAGGGTAATAGACAATACCATCTTCCCTAAACTTAGCCCTGGGAATCACACTCAGTTAAGATCTCTTAGCTACACATCTAATCTTACAAGATGCCAGGCTTAAATTCCATCTTTGGGGTGGGAAACAGAGGGCAGGGCTCATGGCTGATGAGGATACTTACAGATGGATCCCAAACTGCGCCCATCTTTTGTGGAGATTGGGAGGATCCTGGAGGAAATTATGAGCCACCTACAGGAAGAAGAGCTGGAGAGGGATATCACACTGCATCCCACACCTAAGGGTAAGATCAGACCAGGCAGCCCAGCCTAACTTCAAGGGGGGAAATTAGGCTGTGGGACTTTCTCCTCTAGGGCTGTAATTGCAAGATCCCAGGTTCCGAAGCAAGGGGAGGTCACGGGGAAAAAAGTGCTGGATGCTCTTAAAGAAATTGTGATTTGGCACATTGCTTCCCTTCTCTGATGAACTGGGACATCATACTATGCGTTCCTAAGAGAAAACACTATGATAAAATGCTAGTTTGTTTTATAATGACTAGTGAGAGTAACCCAGGTTTGACTAACTGTTCTTCAGGACTCTTGGACAAAGTGCGTGGGGGGAAGCGACTGAGCTCATTGGATGACAAGATTCCCTACAAGTCACCGCGTCCAAGACGTACTATCTGGCTGTCTAGAAGCCAGTCAGACATCTTCTCTTGTAAGCCCTCACATACAGTGAGTGTCTTGGACCCTTACTACCAGCCACGAGATGGTGCTACTCGCACCCCCAAAGTCAATCCTTTCATTGCTCGTCAGGATCTCAAGGGTGGCAAGATCAAGCTCTTTGATGTACCCAGCAAGTCTGTCATCTCCCTGGTATTTGACCTGAATGCCCCAGGGCCTGCAACTATGCCCCTGGCTGATTGGCAAGAGCCCCTGGCCCTACCTGCCCGCCGGTGGCGTTCTTTGCCTGGTTCACTTGAGTGCTTGGGTCAAGAGGCCTGTCCATTTGTGGGCCGTGAAGAATCACTATCTGATGGGCCCCCACCACGCCTCAATAGTGTCAAGTACAAAGTAAGAGAGATCCCACCATTCCGGGCATCTGCCCTACCAGCTGCTTCAGCCCATGAGGCCATGGACTGCTCCAACATCCAGGAAGAAAATGGTTTTGGGTCCAGGCCCAAGGGGACCAGCCCATGCCTTGGAGGTGCCTCTGAGGAGATGGAGGTGGAAGAAGAAAGGCCAAGAGGCTTGGCTGCAGTCTTCTCCTCCGTCTCAGGCATAGTCCTGCAAACCCAGGGAGAGCAGGATGGGTGAAGGGAGTTAGTCTATGCCTCACTTGGGGATGGACCTTCAGCTGAAGCCACTAGGCCCCACTGGCTTCTGAGGGGAGCCCACAGAGCAGGCAGGCTAGGCTCAGCCTGGCTGAAATTTTGGGCTTTCAGTGCCCATTGGTTGCATATGAGAGGGGAGGCAGCAGAGAGAGGCATTCTAATTAGGGCCAACTGCTGATCCCAAACCTTGGAAATCCAGTAAGTGCCCTGGTTTCCATCCAACCCCAGTACATTTCCCCCAACATGAGTCCTAGTTCTAGGTTGAGTTGGCAGGTGGTTATTACCCTGGTTTTTCTGCTATCCCTGGTCTCTCTTGCCCTTTCTTGGGGCATATAAGCTACTGGATGGAACATGGACTTGACCAGGCCATAAAGGGTATGGCTGTTTTTCAGACCTAAAGACTGGGGTGCTTCTTGCCAGTATGTCTAAGACACTTGAATAATTGCTGTTTGCACTTATTGCATGGTCAGACCACATCACTACATTTCTATGCAAGGGGGTGGGGGTGGGCAGCAAGGCAACATGGTGGTCATGGCTCTTAGCTAACCTATTCAAAGACCTTTTCCAGTTGATTAATCTATTTTCATATTTATAATGGAGTCTTAATGTCTGCCTCTAAGACTTTCAACCTTGTGGTTGGGAGTGGGGCTGGTTTTGTAGGCCCTAGGGTCTGCTCTATGTATTTGTCAACAGGTGATACAACCAGTTGGTTGAATGGTTTATATTTGGACTGATTTTCTTCCCTTCCTGCTATAGCTGGAGCTTTGGGAACAGTCTGTCCTTACAGAACCGCAATAAGAAATAACCAAAGAATGAAGTTGGTCAAATATTTTCATAACTTGTTTCTGTTGATTTTTTTGTAAAACTTTCCCAAGATACTTTCAGATTTAAATATAAATAAAGTTGATATTGCAGGTACTGGTCAGCCTTCTTATTTGTATACTTCTACCTCCACCTCTGGGGGAAAAGAAAAGTTCCAGGAGCAGTGTGGTAGTATTTACTGCCAGGACCCCACCCTTCCACTAGCTGAGACATTCACAAGCTACAGGAACCCAACTATGTTCTTACCCTCAGTTTCTCTTCCTGGGCCAAGTGCCAGGTAGAAGTTGGGTCAGCTGCTACCCCAAGCCAGCTTCATCTTCTGGTTGTGTGCTTTGGAGGAACGGGAGAACTGGCTCTTGGCCACTGTGAGGGGTACAGCTTTGCCACTCAGATATACCTTGTTGTGACATTCAGGTAACCAGGGTCCAGAGCTGCAGGACTGGGTTCCCTGGCTCACTCCCACATAGGCCATCACATAACCTGTCATAAAGGCATCAAAACCAGCCCGATGCAGTCCATCCCCAGGCACTGGGTTAAGACTGGCTTTACTTCCTGGCATTTCTGATGTAGCCATGTCAACTGTTCCAGGCCTTGTTGTCATAAGCTCCATCTCCAAATCATTTCTGTGATCTTGCTCAGAGCCAGGCTTGTCCTTAGTTTCATCCTCTGTCACTTTTTGCTCAATTTCCTCAGTCTTGAGGCCATCCCCACAGACCTGCTTTGTGGGAGGACCATCCTCAGCTTCCCCAGACGTCTGTGTCCGAGGCAGGTTGAACAAAGCCCTCCTACGTTTTTCTTTACGTCGTCGCCGTCGCCTCTTGTCTTCTGCCACAGCCTCATCAGTGTCAATGATAAGGTCAATATTGTGGGACTGAGGACACTGAGGTCCTAAAGGGCACCAGCCATAGGCCTAGAGGTAGGAAAGAGGCTTAGAAGGGGTTCCAGACATCAAAACTTCCCCTCCCTCAGAAAATGGGTAAGTGCTCTCACAGAGAAGTTGTCACAGATGCTGGTGGGATGAGGACGGTGGGTTGCAGGGGACATGCAGCAGCGGTAGTCAATATGGGCCCTCATACTAGAAGGATAGCTGCAGAACTCCAGGGTAAGGTGTGGGCTGCCAGCTGCCTGCTGCTTCCCGTTTTCCCGCTCACTGTAACAGCATAAAAGGGTATTGCTCCGCTAGCATATAAGCTCCATGAGAGGAAGGGGTTTTGTCTGATTTGTTCACTGCTGAACCTAAATACTGTGCCTGGCACATGGTAGGCACTCAATAAATACCTTAAGTGAATGAAATAGGCTCATACTAGGCCCCACCCATTTCCCTTAATCATTCCCTCACCATTTCCGGAAAGCATATTCTAAGTAGGAGGCCACAAAGCGGGCATGAAACTCTGCAGCATATTTGGTGTCATAAATGCCTGCTGGGAACATCTCACACAGGTCAGCAGTGAAGGTTCCCAGGCTCTCAGGCAGGTGTGCATAGAAGTTCTGGTACAGGAACACCAAGTCTATAAGGCCATTATGCAGCACCAGGGGCCGACGGGCCCGGATTAGCTCCAGGAACAATGTCCGCACTGACTGGCTCTGGCTCTCATCACCCTAGGTGGAAAGGAAGGGGCCAGTGGTTAAGACAGAGTCCCCCAGACAGCCCCTTCTGCAGGACATTTCTCCCAGGTTCCTCCACCTAGAAAGCTCTCTTTTCCTAACCCAGTACTACCCACCCTTGCATGTCTTGTTTCTTCAGCCTTATAACTAGTGATTTCCAATACTCACTAAGAAGCAGATTTTCCCTGGCATCCAGCCTACGGTAAGAAGAAATGAAATCACAGAAGAGGCAGACTCAAGGCTAGGGAAGCTGGAGGCTTACCCTGTCATTGCCCTTATGGTAGGGGATGCCTTGGGCATACTGCCGGTTGAAGTTGAAGCCATGCTGAACCAGGAACTGCACAGACTTTGGTTCTATAATGTACTCCTCCATGCACAGCAGAGTGAGATTGAACACCTGAGCCAGGTATGAGTATTTGCCCTAAGAGAGAAAGAGGATCTGCTATATCAAGATTTGGAAGAAAAAAAAACCTTATCCCCTTGAATTCAACTATGATATATTGTAAGAACTTTTGTAAATGTCACAATATACCTCCAGTACAACAATAATATAATAAAAAATAAATTTAAAAAAATCTTACTTCCAATGTTCCCAGGATCTCAGCCCTCCTCCCACCAGCCTCGGACCTGGAATGAAGGTGAGATAGCTCATACCTTATCTGGTTGCTGCTTGAAGCAGGCAAGGCCCAGGGACAGGACAGAACGAGTCGTGGCAGCATGACACACAGCCTTGTAACGTTCCTCGATACACCTTGCAGTTGAGTTTGGAAGTGGTTGTGGCTGAGTTAGCTTCATGAAGAACCCAAAACACCTAAGAATGGGACCCCCACCTCCACCCCAACTCCAGGGTTGAGTTGCTAGTGCTGGGACTAAAAAGGCTTATACTTAACTGGTTCAGCAAACTCTTCCTGTCCCCAAGTCCACTCAGCTCCTGAGTGGGTAAAGGGAGGGTTGTGATTGTCCCCAGCACCAGTACCTTCACACCTGCCCTCCCTGTTTCCCATGCCTCACCGTGTCCACAGCCACGAAGCTAGCTGTCTTTATGGCCAGCAGGACGGATGGCCACATCTCCTTGAAGTTGTCGCTTTGCACATCTACCACAGGAACCTGGATTACTAGCTCCTCCCTAGATGTTATGCTTTTGTTGACCCCACCTGGGGATAAGAAAGGTGATGGATGTTCCTGCTCTGGCAAGGTCGCAGGGGTACAGACACCAAGACAGGCCATAGAGGAGGGAAGATCCCATTGGTAGCCTTTGTATGTATCCCATGCGCTCTACGCACAGGTTTTGGAGTGGACAATATTTTGAATTTGGGAAGATGCCTGGGTCTTCCAGTGACTTTATGAAATTAGTTCCACAGCATCAAAATCAACAGAAAGCGAAAGTTAAAGAGGATTAGTTTTCTCTATGCCTTACAGGAACTATTTTTTTAAAATTGTTTTATTATTCATATGTGCATACAAGGCTTAGGTCATTTCTCCCCCCTGCCCCCACCCCCTCCCTTACCACCCACTCTACCCCCTCCCTCTCCCCCCCACCCCCTCAATACCCAGCATAAACTATTTTGCCCTTATCTCTAATTTTGTTGAAGAGAGAGTATAAGCAATAATAGG